ACATTCCGATTGGGAACCCATTTCCAATGAAAAATAAAACTATATTTATTTGGAATTTTATTAACCCCTTCAGTTAGAGTCAAAGAACCATTTGGCATGGTATCCAGCACCTTCACCTAAATTATCGGTTTATCAGAATATGGTCTCGCCCTTCCAACCTAAAAACATTCAGAACCCTGTGTCCTATAGACAATATTCAGGGAAATAATGCAATTATGTTTGTTTAAAGCAGAAAGTCTGATTTTTCTTATATGATGTATGTCAAATCCTCAAGGTTTTGTATCAAAACAGAAAATCAGTACAAAGATTCATCCCACAAAGAACAATAATCTAAACTCTCAGTTTGAGGGCTTCAAAGAGACCACTGAAATCAGTAGGTTTTGGACACCTACATCTCTTAGGTGCCTTGGGAAAGACTTAATTTCTGTTCTAGCTAAGAATCAAACTATAAATATGGTACTTAAAACATGTTGTAATATCTGCTTTCCTATCACTGCCTCTGACCACACACTGGTTTTTCAAAAGTTATCCTGAATGAATTTCCCTTTATCACTAAAAAAAGAGGAGGCAGGAGACAAATGAAGGTTAGGAATCATTAAAAAAGGGATAGAGAATAAGACAGAGAATATCTTATTTCCTCTATATAAAACCATGGTACACTCACATCTTTAATACTTATGTGCAGATGTGGTTGCCTCATCTAAAAAACAAAAACAAAAACATATCTTGGCATTGGAAAAAGTTCAGGAAAGGGCAACAAAAATGATTGTGGTTTGGAACAGCTGTCATATGAGGAGAGATTAAAAAAGGGGACTTTTCAGCTTAGAAAAGAGGAGACTAAAGGGATATGATAGAGGTCTATAAAATCATGAGTGGTATGGAAAAAGTTAATAAGGTAAAGATATTTACTTATTCCCACAATATAAGAACTAGGGGTCACCAAATGAAATGAATAGGCAGCAGGTTCAAAACAAACAAAGGAAGTTTTTCTTCACTCAGCACACAGTCAACCTGTGGAACTCCTTTCCAGAGGATGTGTGAAGACTAGGACTTTAACAGGGTTCAAAAAAGAGCTAGATAGATTCATAGAGGTTAGGTCCATCAATGGCTATTAGCCAGGATGGGTAGGAATGGTATCCCTAGCCTCTGTTTCTCTGGAGGTGGGTGACAAGGGAGGGATCACATGAGGATTACCTCTGGGGCATCTGGTATTGGCCACTGTCAGCAGACAGGATACTGGGCTAGATGGACCAAAGATCGAACTGACCCAGTATGGACATTCTTATGTTCTTAAGTGTGAACTTTAAGGCAAATAAAGTCTGAAATAGTTTTGTTTGAAACTTGCTTTGGAATTCTACATTACCCTTTTATGACTTACTATGGATACCGCCAACACACGATCCTAAGCTCACACACACAAGCTTTGTCTACACTTAAAACTTATATCTGCTTAGCTGTGTCAAATCTCCCGGGCTAGTGACAGTCCTTTGCCCAGAAAATCCTCTGTGTAGATGCAGGTATGCCAACAAAAGAGTGCTTCTGTTCTCATAGCTAACATCGTTCAAGGAGGTGGTACTATACTGGCAGAAAAACTCCTGTCAATGTACAGTAAGTCCACATTAGGTAAGGTGACCATATTTCCCTATGCTGAATACGGGACACCTGGTAACATTACTCGGAGTCAAGCAAGTTTAACGGCACCAATCAGAATTATGCAGTACAAACATTCCAATTAACTTCAAGTTGGTTGAACCCGTTAAAAAGAAATACTCCATTGCTGGAGTCTTTTTTTTTTACCTTCTTACCTTTAAGACTTTAGAGTTCACATAAGTAGGAGTGACACTTACTCCAAAACTCTCTTCCCCAGGGAGAGGTTACACACACATACTCCTGTACACCTCTCTCACACAGGGATGAGGAGTGACTGACTGACCTAACTCTCCTTGTCCATTGCTCTCTGCCCTGCCTGGCTCTATGCCCTCGGATGGACCTGTCTCTCAGGTCCCTCATGCCACATCTCCCTGAGAAAACAAACACGGGGGGTTGGGAGGGGAGCACACAGGGTCACATGCTCTCTCTCCCCATTATTCTGTCAGGGTTTACACCAGAATGTGGCCAACAACACTATGGAGGAAGGAAGGGATGGGAGCTACTCCAGTCCCAAGGGAGGAGATGGGAAACAGATGACTTGGCCCATGTCTTTGCAGAGCTCATCTCTTCTTCTTCCCCATCTCCCTTGGCTGGAAGCAGCTTGTCCCTTCCTGTGTGCATGGTATGGAAAGACAGTGAACACCTCAAGGCTGTGCTGGCCACTTACATGAACCAGCCACCTCCTGCTATGCAGATCCAGAATGGGCAGGAAGGGATTAAGCCCTAAGGAAGCACTGTGCACCAGGGCTCAGGGAACCTGATTGCAGAGACTTCTGTAAACCCAGCCAGACATGTGGCTCAGCTCCAATCAGGGGCTGGTTCTCCACCCAGCGCTGGGAGTAGGATGCACCCTGCCAGGGAGCAGGCAGACCAAAGGGACAGAACAGGGAGAGGATAGTGTAACCCATAAAGGGCTGATGGGGGCGGAGCAGAGGTGATATGTAACTGGCTGCTGCCTGACACCTGCCTGCATTCACCAGCCACTGCTGCTTACCGTGTGCAGACAGTGCCAGCCAGAAACAGAACCAGGGGCGGGACTCTGCTGAAAGAGTGCCTGCATGCAGCAGGGGCTCCACTTACGGACAGCGTGGGGAGCATCCAGATACATGTGCTGCATCTTCACCCTGCTACCCACCTTGTCCGTGGTTGGCTAGTGGATCTTCCCTCCCCCCCCCCCACACACACACTGCTGGTGGGAGCATGGCTGGCAAACAGGGATTCAGCCTTCAGCAGAACCTGCCAGTACTCATAATCAGGGAGAGACAGACAATCATGGACAATTTGCCCGTTTTTAAGAAAAAACCAGGACACCAGCAGGAGGGCTTAAAAATGGAACTGCCCCTTTAAAAATGGGATGTGTGGACACCTTAATTTATGGGGCTCTGCTAGCATAACTATTCAAACATAGGCTCAATGTGTAGACAAAGCCACACACACACTTTTCAAATCTATACATTCACATATGCATTCAGGTCCCCTCCACTGAAATACAGCCCACTCTAGGGTAGAATGCAGGAGCTGTTTTACCGCATGCAGCAAATAGGAGCTTAGAGAAAGAAGCGAAGATGCATACACCCTACTGAGAGTGCAAGAGATTTAAGTAGAATGTACAGTAAGTTCCCAAAATTGAATGATAGGAACCAGAAGTGTAACAAGGTAATAACATGGTAATACAAAATACATAGGTGCTTTCTGGATTAGCAAAGTAATAAATAAATGTACTGTCTGCTACTCTTTATTTACGCAGTGCCTAGCACAATATGGTCTCATTCTTGATTGGCCTTCAGGCACTAATACTGTAATAAAAATTAATAATACTTAATTATAATATAAAATTAATTAACATAGTTCAGCATCATCATCCAATAGTTATTGGCTATTCAGGGCTATTAGCATTTTTGCATCATCCCCCTAACTGGTTCATGATTGGAAAGATAAAATAGCTTTTAATCTTGTTATCTGACTGATTAACATCACTTTTCCATCCGTATGCTGAATTATAATGGAATTTCCCAGGAACTATATACAACAATGAAAATTCTAACAGAACAACATATCTGACAAATATTATCACAATAAACACTGAAGCACATAACTTAGTTTGTATTTAAATATTTCATACATTCATACTCACCCCCAAGGACAACACAGAATCATAGAATATGAGAACTGGAAGGCACCTGAGGTGGTCATCATATTCAGTCCCTCATAGCATGACCAAGTACCATCCAGATCAGGGGTGGGCAAATTCCAACCTGTGGGCTGGATCTGGTCTGCAGGATTAGTTCGTGGTGGTCCCCCACCTCCATGTTCACCTGTGCCTCTGCAGGTATCAGAGGACCGCAGCTCTCGTTGGCCACAAATAGCCGTTCACAGCCAATGTGAGCAGCAGGAAGCGGCATCCTGGTCTGTGAAGCTTCTCGCTGCTCACATTGGCCGTGAATGATGATTCGCGGACAAGCAGAGCTGCAATCCTCCGATTCCTGTGGAGGCACACGTAAACATAGTGGTCACCAGGGACTAACCTTGTGGGCTGCCATTTTTTTTTATTGCCCACCCCGATCTAGATCACCCCTGATAGATGTTTATCTAAACTGCTCTTAAATTATCTCCAGTGCTGAAGATTCCACAACCTCCCTACACAATTTATTTCAGTGTTTAACCACCCTGACAGTTAGGAAGTTTTTCCTAATGTCCAACCTAAGGCTCCCTTGCTACAATTTAAGCCCATTGCTTCTTGTCCTATCATCAGATGTCAAGGAGAATAATTTCTCTCTCTTCTCCCTGTAAGACCATTTCTGGTACTTGAAAACTGTTACCATTTCTCCTCTCTGTCTTCTCTTTTTCAAATTTAACAAACTCAGTTCTTTAAGTTTTGCCTCATAGTTCATGTTTTCTAGACCTTTAATCATTTTTGTTGCACTTGTCTGGATCTTCTCCAATTTCTCTACATCTTTCCTGAAATGTGGAGCCCAGAACTGGACACAGTACTCCAGTAGAGGCCTAATCAGCACAGAGTAGAACCAAAGAATCACTTATTGTGACTTGCTCCAACATGCCAGTTAATGCATCCCAGAATCATGTTTTCTTTTTTTTGCAATTGTTGATACATATTTAGCTTGTGGTCCACTATGACCCCTAGATCCCTTTCTGCAGTACTCCTTCCTAGAGTCACTTCCCATTCTGTATGTATGAAACTGCATTTGTCCTTATTAAACTTCATCCTGTTTACCTCAGACCAATTATAAACCAGATCAGAAAAAAAAGTTCAGTTTGAGTCAGTGATGACTTTACAATACAATATAAATGGACCACAAACAGATTTTCATATAAATGTACTTTATTGCAGAGAAGTTACATTATTTACATGCTGTGACACATTACAACATAAATCTATCAAATATTTCATGGTGGATACTGTAGATTGCCAGATAATAGTCTTATAAGAATTACTGAATAAAGTGAATAGACTTACCACTTTATTTACTCTACAATTCTGAGTAGCTAAAATGTTAAAAGTGAAAAGGCAGTGTGTTCTCAGGCGGGCCAGTCATCAAATGCATGCAAAAGCCTAAGGAGAGCAAATATAAAAGTGCTATCTGTTTTCATATCTGTAATGCCACCGAAGCTGATGGGTGAATAATTATCTGTATTTTTAAGCATATAATTCCTTCATAAAATATACAAGTAGATTAAGATTGGTTAAATCTAATTATTTATGAGCCATAGTTCAGAAAAAAAGGAGATGCAGCTTGCACATGCATTTGAGAAGGACAACCTAGCAAATGTTTGTGACCTGAGCGATTATTATCTTTCTTCTTAACAGATCTGCTAGAAAACATCTTAATTCTAGAGTTGCATTTCTCTTGGCTGAATAATGATAATGGAACTCCAGAAAAAGACAACTAAGCAATCTAGCTAACATATGCTGGTGGAGAAAAATGTATGGAAGATAGAAAATCATGTTGGTTTAACTCAGTTTGCCGTCGTTAAGCAACATTTCTAGCAGGACCATAGTGAAATATAACAGCTCAGTGAAATTTGGCCCCCTTGTTTTATAAAGTGTTGAAAGAATCAAAAGTATCAACAGATAAGAAACCCAAATATCCGTTACTGCATGTGCCAGGGAAATCAATCCTTAATTAGTGTAATTGCTTTTAAAACAAATTCTCCAGTTTTACCAGCCTTAAAGTACATGATTTGAGCAAACCTAAAATCCACATGGAGAATGTTTTAAAAGAGAGGGAACATTCTGTGTATCAGAAACAAATGTAAAACTAAAATATCCATTCTGGGTCAGACAGTCATTGTTATGCCAGTGACTTCAACAGAGATATGTCAATATATACCTCTTATGGATCTAGCCCTCTTCTTCGGTGCTAATGATTTTTTCCCATATAAGCTATCCTAAGGAAAAGCAATCAGCACTGGCACAAATACAGTAACACACACAGGGCTTGATCTTGCCTGTGGTGTAACAGGTAGCACTACTGCGTGGATCACATGTGGATCTCCAGCTGGCCTGGTTTGGAGAGCTACCCAAACATGACTGACGCATTGCAGAGGCAGTCCATTCACACTCAGTGCCATCGGAGTGCACAGAGGGCAGAAGGAGCATAGTGACTAGTGAAATCATGATATGGCATCACACCCCGGAGGACACGAGATCCGGGAGATGGTGGATAAATGCAGAAGATACCCCCACCCTATTACCTACCCTGTGCACACTAGCTGCAAGTGTGGATTTCATCATGCAGAAAGGGCCATGGCAGTGAGTGAGCTGCACCGCAAGCATCCTGGCCCCAAACACAGACAGCTCTGATGGAGAAAGGGCTTGTCGGAAAACTAGCCAGGCTCTGACGTCCTTTCCTCAGCCTGATGAGAGATGACTCCATATAGAATCCCATCTCTGCCATGTGTTCCTCTGCTTATCAATAGGGGCATCCTTTGCTACATAGGCAGATTCTGGCACATGGATGGGATTTGGTCTCTCCAGCAGGGGCTCAGCATGCTCTGGGTGGTCTCTATCTGCTTGGTGGTACCCTGAGATCTACGCAATGGCAGAATGAAGCCCACATATCACCTAGAAGAAATTGGGTTTGCTAACCAGAGGCCTGATCCTAATCCCATTGACATCAACAGACAGACTCTCATTGACTTCAATGAGCTTCAGCTCAGGCTCTGGATAACATTTGTGGGATGGGGAGGACAGAGAGAATCTGTGCACGCACACTCTAATTATAATGCTTCTCCAGTGCTGGAGGTGAGGCCGTCTCTCAGCCTCCCTTTTCACAGCTCAATCCTTTGCCTACAACTCTGCAAAGAAGAGGAAATGCCCTCCTCATTTCAGTTTGCCCAAGTCTCTTACAAACCTCATTTCTATGAGGCCCAGGAGAAGTCAGTTTATATTACATATGTGTGTCTACATATGCATTAAATATATCTATTCTGTATGTATCGGGTACATAGTACACACACACATATATTGAACAACACAGCATTAAGTTATCCTTGTTTCTGGCTTTCCCAGTGAACTCTATCATCTCTCTCAATCTGAAAACTCTTCAGGAGACCTGGAATTGCCTTTATTTTGGGGTAATACACATCTCCACGCACAGAGCTGGCATTAATACCAACAGTACACGACAAGTCCTAGATTGAAATGAGCCAAGGTGGCACCTCGTCTACTAGTACTGACTTTATTTATTAGTCCTTGTAGCTTCTACAATACCTCTTAAGTCCTGACCATGCCAAGATTTATTCATGTATAAATCTCATTGACTTCAACTGATTGTTCTGACTATATAAAGTTAAACACATGTGAGCCTTTGCAGGATCAGGGCCTTAGTTGTTACTGGGGATTAATTGTGTTTAACATATGATGTTATAAATGTTACTCCTGTGTAACATAAAACATTTTTAGAGGAAGGATTGCAATGCCCCATCCTCTTCTTCTCTTTTTATCTACTGATTGCATTTTAGGGGGAAAATGTGTTGTATTAGGGTTAATCTCTCTTTCTCTCTCTTTTTTTTAATGTTTAAAGAGTCAGTTCTTGGAAGTTCACCAGAAGGAAACACATCAGCGCTAAACAATCTAAGGTATTTCCCTTAGCTGTGTGTTGCTAGTGAAACAGACCATAATTCCTAAAAGTATTTTGTCATCTTTGTTCTTTTCCTTCATCAGAATATGCTCATTATGGAATACTGAGACATATACTGATGATGGGTGATTAAAGCAGGAATTCTGTATTGAGAAATGATATTTGTCAAACTTGTAACAAACAACAGATAAGTTGTCCTTGAACTTATCCAAATACACAGCTAAACAGATGACTTGCTCTCCAGTAATAAAGTCTATGATTGCTAACAAAGAAGTGCCAAATAAATAACTTACCTTGTATAAAAACCCTGGATAATATAGTATCAAACTATAATTTTAAATAATAGAGAGTAGAACAGAAAATTCACAATATAAATCACAACAAAATCCAAAATGTTTTTCCATACAAGTTATGGCTTTCAAAGCCAGTGAAAGCTTACTGTAATTGGTAAATAAACAAAAGTCTATAGCAGGTATTGTAAGCTGCAGTAACAATAGAGTATCCGCAGATTGCATAAATGTGTTGTTGTGTCACATGATATCAAAGTTATTTGTAAAATGTATACAATCTGGAATGCTTTAATATGAGACACAACAATGCACTTAAACATACATGTATAAGAAAATGAGAGCAACCATTATAGAAAATGTATTTTTGGGATGCATTAAGTTAGCAGTGCTTTCAAGGTTAAATATGGAAAGTAAAAAGTCATCTTTTCAGGAGGCTGCTCATTTATACCCAATTTTGCCATCAAGACATTTTCCATGCCATACTTTTATTGGATCTTTAAAGTCCCAAGGGCAAGTTTTGCCCAGTTTGGGGAATTCAGGAACAATTCAGTTGGAATTTGTTTCATTGTTACAGCCATTTACTTTTTTTCTGTTTGTAAGGGAGAAATGGTTTTGCGAAGGCAGGTGTCTGTATGTTTAGACTGTAAACTACTTAGTGCAGGTACCATATCCCTGCCATGGTTTGCACACCATTGATCACATTGTTGGCACTCAAGAAATAAATAAAATAATAATAATTTATTTTGCTTATTTCCTACTTTTACATGTCCTGATACCTTCAGTTAAGTGATACTCCTTAGGAATTTTTAGATCCTCTTGGCCTAGTCCCCTCTCACTTTCCTTCTTCCTGTAGTCTTTCTTCCTGGTGCTGCTACTCTTTTCAGTCTAAATCCTCTATTTTTGAGGTGTTGCTGTTTTATTTGCACCTAAAGCAGATGTGTTTGATAAAGATACACATCTTTCTGCATTTGGTAAATCTGGTGTTTCAAACTCCCATGGACAGACTTCAGCTCTAGATGCTAAAGCTTGCTGTAAGTTACTACTCGATCTGTAGGAGTCAGAAGAAAGCAAGGAGGATGTATTTTTTTTCTGTTCTCCCAAATTATTGAGATTTTCCCTTTCAGCTGTTTGCACTGCACCTTTTTTAGGCAATTTCTCAGATTCTTCAGCACAAATATTTGCTGCATAATATTTATTAACATTTTCACTCTTAAACCCAGGGGCGACCTGAGAGTTGGAATTTAAATGTTTTTTCTCATCTTCAAAAACATGCTGCTCTTGGGCCTCCGGAGTGCATGTTTCTGACTTCTCTAAGGACTTTTGATCTGATTGCTGATATCCTTCAGCTGTCTTAAGCTTGTGATGGGATTTGCCCTTTGGCTGGGAAGTATGATTTTTCTCCATTTCTAAGGAAGCAATAGACACATGTTTTTGAACTTTCGATTCAGAAGGCACAGTATCAGGAGTTTGGTCGTAAATCTCCCAGGGACAAATTTCTGCTATGTCAAAATTGTCCTTAAGCAGTGACTTGCCTGTGCCTGCATCAGGATTTGCAATTATCTGACTAACCCTTTGTTGTTTCATAATTCCAGATTTATGGGGTTTCCTTGTTTCCTCAGTGTGAGTAGAGTTTTTCCGATGTGAATCTTTATGTTCCCCTTTATCACTGGCTGAGTGTTTTTTGCTGGCCTCTTTACCCTTTTGCTGCAATTTATGGGATTTACTGCTTTCTTCTAGGCTCTGTGTTTTCCCGGTTAATCCTAGAGTCTTTTCCTTGGCACTAGCAATAACACTGAGAGATTTTTGTAACACAGATGTTCTTGGATGCAGAGGCTTCTTATCTGCACTTAAGTTGTGTGCACTTACTGATTTGCATACTAAGGGGACAGATTCAGTGGACACAGCTTCAACTTTTTCTGCAGATTTTTTTGTTAATTTTTTCCCTGTCAAGGAATCCAGCAGTGAATTATCAGCAGTTATAACTTCAGCACTTTCTGTGGTTAAGCTATTAGACTCTTCTGTTTGATCTCTAACATGATCATAAGTGCTGTGGGACTTTTTTAATGAAAAGACTCTGTTTTTCAAAGACTCCTCCTTTGGCTTTTCATAACTTGTGGAATCCTGTGGGTTTTTTCTCATGACAGCAGTGTTCTTTGTCGCACTGTGGTCCATAAGGTCCTTCTCATCCCTGGAGCACTGCCTGGTGACTGTCTCAGGGATTTCAGTAATCCGTCTCATTATTGAGCGACCCAAGCCTTTCTTAGAGCACCTCTTTTTCTGGAGATGTGGGTTATTAGCAATCATCTTTTTCCTTTTGTAGATTTCAAGCTGGGCATACAGTTTCTTCAACTCATCCTAGAAAACAAACAGCAAAACTAGCACATATGACAGAAATCAAATCAAATGAACAGTCTCCATTAATGCTATTTAAGCTCATGTTGTATAATCACTAAAATAAAGTATTTCATTGCATCTTTTCTACCATCAGAATGTGTCATTCTTCCATGTACTTGGATTACATTCTTGATTGTTAAGGGAAGCTCAGAGCTAAACCCACTTTTAAAAATCACATGTGGTCTCACAGCATATTCCATGCACAGATAGTTATCAAATAGTCACACTACATTTTTAGGCTTATTCTGAAAACAAATGAGGTTACTGTGCATTCTTTACTAATCGAATAAAAAAGACAACAGCCCCCCTTTTTAGGCAGTGTACAGTCAAAGCACTATTGTAAGAGAAGTGTTCTTTTTCCACATGAAGGAAGGATGGTGTGTTTTGATCAGTTTATGAAATTTTATAAAATTAGCAAGATGATGAATACTGTGACACGAAGCTCTGGTTGTGCTTCAAAACTGATGAGCCTCTCTACCCAAACTGATGGACAGTTCTTGCCATGATGCTTCAGCCTACTCAGCATCCAGTGAGATTCCTGCAGTAACAAGTAACGTAGTCTCTGCTCACATTAGTATGTTTTCCCAAAAATATATCTGGTATTTCTAGAACTGAGCAATAAAAAGAAATCAAACTTCTGCGTCTCAGTAGAAGAACACTCATCTAAAAACTGAATTACAATTAAAAGTTTAGTATTTACCCTAATGTCCTCAGGGTCCAAACTATGCTCACTCCAAGCTGAATTGATACTGCTGTTTAGGTAGGACCCGGAGCGACCCATGTCAAGTTCATCTTCATAAGCTTCAGTGGCTATGTCATCTCTTGGGTTATTGCTTGAGAGTGAAAACTGAAAGACATATTGGCAAAAAGATGTTGCAGTTAGTGCATTGATAAGGGTCAAATCAAGAATCATAAGGGTACAACTATTCTCCAGGTATCATTTTACAAACCTGGATTCAAGCAATGTCTATATTATATTATTTTCTATTATTTTCTATTATATTAATTATAATTATATTATATTATATTATATTATATTATATTATATTAATGATGGATTAACCTGAAAACGTTCAGAGTTTCATTTGAGAAAATCAGTTCTATGTTTTGATGCTTATCTGAACTTCTCTGAATTGCTAGGCTAGAAATCTCAATATAGAGGCCCCAACTTTACCTGTTTACACACTGAACAAACAGAGGCCTCACAACAGTTATAGTAGAGTTATACTGACGAAAGCAGCATTGCAAAACCATTACTCATGTGATACTGGCATTATACTTTAATCTAGACACTCAGGCAGACCAGCTAGATATTTCATATGGCAAGTGACCAGCCCTACAGGGCTGCCATATGCAGAAGGTGGCCAGCAATATGGAGACAGAGTTAAGTATATTGTAAGTATGTAAACTTTGAATTTCCTTACATTTGTGTAAGAAGTCTTTTTCTTCTTATAATGTTGTAATAATTGATTTTTATACATTAAATATCACAAAGTTAACTATTAACACAACTATTTTGTGGGAATTTGCTTATTGTTCTTTTATCAATAAATTTCATTCTAAAATTACATTCTCCTAAAATGGAAGTGCTCTGAAGTGGGTTGTGCTCACGAAGCCTCCTAACACTATCTATATTTTTGTTAATCCCTATGGTGCTGCAGGACCAATCATTGATTTTTAAGGGTTTTTTTTAGTTACAGACTAATGTGGTTAATATTATAAAAAAATAATTGAATATTCAAAGCAAGAATTTCTTCTGAAAATGTAATATTAAAATAAAACAAACATTTGTGAGTTTCCCCCAAGCATTTTAAGATAAGAATGTTAAAAATACAGATTTGAAATGATATCTGACCAATATCCTAATCCTCCTCCTCTAATTACTTGCTACTTTAACTGCTTCTGCAGAATTATACTGATCTTTCTGTGTACTTGACAAGAAAAAAAATTGAAGAATACCTTAGGTACCAGAAGTAACCCAATGGTAACTGTCACAGTCAAGTGCGTGTGTGCAAAGTACAACATTAGCATCCAATCGGACTGAAGTCTTGAGGCAAGACTAAATCTGAAAGTAAAATTCAGAGTGTTGGCAATTTGTCTTTTTTAACATGTTAAAGTTAATATTTCTGAAGGTAATCTAAATTAAAGATAAAATGATGTGTTTGTATTTCTTTGATATAAACTAAAATTACATTTTCATCCTTTATACCTGTATCATATCTCCAAAGGAACAGAGGGAGACAAAAGCATGCCTTTTAAGAATAGAGCATACTTAAATATTCTCATTCTATTTATTTAGATCTCCATTGACTACAACTGAGCTATGATAATTTACACATGTTGAGGATTTGGCCCTGTGCTTTTTAGATTATTCACAAAACACATGATCTTCTGTTTTTTATGGCACATTTCCTCACTACAGTATGTCCTTAAGTCACAGCTTCAGAATGCTACTGACAAACTGGCCAGCCACAGTAACAGAGAACTGAACTGATATACGTTTAGATGGACTAAGTGGGGAGTACAGAATTGGCCTTGATTGCACGAGCTCTCAGCTAAATACTACAGGGCTTAACAGTTTTGCAAATGCTAGTGAATGAAAAGTTAATTTGATTAAATTCATTAAATTAAACTACATTTGGTAATTATTTTGTGTGCTGTTTAAGTTCCCAAAGATTTAAATAGCAAGCAATATAATGGATGAATGGATGCACCACTGGCTTGCAGTATGCAGGTTTTAAAAAAAATCAAATAGAAATGATGTGTGCAACCTTTTTCCACTTAATAGATAAATATTTTACAACAACCATATACTTTTATTAGTGTCATTGGTCTGGCATGAAACATTAGTTTATATGTTATAATAATACACACATAATTTCTTGTTTATTACTTGTAAGCATGCTGGTTCATGCACACAAATATAACAGACTCATCTTTGAAGACATGTGGCCACACTTACATTTTGGAAGAATTTTTTCTAAAACTCAATTGGACTTCGTGCTATTCCAGTGATACTAAGTATCAGAGGGGTAGCTGTGTTAGTCTGAATCTGCAAAAGCGGCGAGGAGTCCTGTGGCACCTTATAGACTAACTGAAGTGTTGGAGCATAAGCTTTCGTGGGCAAAGACCCACTTCATCACACACGCATCTGATGAAGTGGGTCTTTGCACACAAAAGCTTATGCTCCAACACTTCGGTTAGTCTATAAGGTGCCACAGGACTCCTCGCCAGTGATCCTAGGGATCCTTAATTATAGTCATCATTTGGTTATATATTAGAGCTGGTCAAAAAGGAGGCTTTTCCATTGAAAATTTCAACAAACAAAAGAGTAATTTTCATCCAAATTTTCCACAGAAACTTACTATGACATTACAATTTTCAGCAAAAATTAAAAACAAAAACCATATATTTGGGAAATGCTTCTGCAAAGTTGTAGTTTGGGAGTTGTAGTTTGGGTTCCTCCTACCCCCATTCTTGACAGGAGGCGAGGCTGCTTGGTTGGACTATACCTCCATGAAGAATAATCTCCCTTCTGCAATATAATTGGGGGGAATTTCAGTTTTCAATCAAAAGATTAATTTTTTCCATTGAAAAATTTGATATTTTTCATCCAAAATTTCATTTTTTCAAAAACTTAATTTAATTTAAAAATGGAAATTTTTTTATCAGTTCTAGTATTTTTCATATAAACTTAGTTTACGTAACTTTTGAAAATTCTATTGTGGCAATAGGCATAGGCTGAGAAAAATTGGCAGCAACGGGACAGTGGGTATGACGGCAAGTGCACCCTGCAATATCCATCGCCTCCCCACTATAAGTGTTAGGATACCCCAGGGCTGCCACTCCTGCCACTCTGTGAAAGAGAGAAATCCTTTCTTATTCTTTAAGGCCTGGCTTACACTAAAGAGAAAAGTTACTTAAGATATGCAACTCCAGCTACCTTAATTACATAGCTAGAGTTGAAGTATCTTAAATCATGTTTTGGTTCTGTCCACACTGTGGGAGGTCAATGGGAGTACACGCTCCCATCGACTTCCCTTACTCCTTGTAAGGATCAGGACTACTGGCACCAATAGGGAACGCCCTCTCACTTTGAATTAGTGTGTCTTCACTAGACCTCCTAATTCAAACCCTGGAAGATCAACTGCGGCAGTTTGGTTCTTCTCTATAGTGTAGACAAGCCCTAAAGGAATAGAGCCCCTGCTATTATTCCTCAAGGAATAAGGAGATCACATGCCACAGCCCCAGTCTCGCTGGGAGGGGAAAAAGGCTCCACCAATACTACAAAAGGAGATAGGCTTCAGAGTGCAGGGGCAGAGATATGTGGTGGAGCCACGGGTGCCCCATGATGTGGTGTTCTAGTCGTATGCTGCTCATTGCCTGGAAGATGTAATTGAATCATTATTGGAACATCCATTATGGCGCAGCCTTTGTAAAAATGCGTACAATGTTGTTTCAAAGCACTGCATCTCAGCACAAAAAATAAAGGGACATTTGAAGGTATCTAATTATTATTTTTAGCAAGAGGCCAAAATCAAGCAGACTGATGTATTCTTTCACCCATAGATCAAGAAATAGATTCTGTCCTGCATGGCTGGGCCTCACTCTACCAAAGCCAAGGGCAGAAAGGAGGCCGGGGGACATTTGGAGAGCAAGGTCACTTAGCCCCATGCTCACCTCAGACAGTGGCAGCTCCTGTCTTGTGACCCTGGGACGGGGGTTGCAGAGCAAGCCCGACTGGTCACTAGTGGCTCTGACCTGTCTCAGGGAACTGGCCAGGGTCTGTCTCCCCTCTCCAACTTATTGACTCTTGCTGCTAGAAGCCCACCACAGCATCAAGTGGTACATGTCAAAGCTTTGCCTTAAGCTGGACATGCATACAAAGGGCAGCTGGTGAGCTGGACTGACAAATTTTGGGGGAAAAGGTTGAGCTCCTTCTAGTTCTATCCACCCACTGTGTATGATCAGGGCTGATGTGTCTGTCCTTTACTTACGCTGTTCAATGAGGTAGTTTGTTTGTAAATGCCAGACTGGAAGAAAAGATGAGATTGGCTGTAATTTATTTGATTTCCATTGATACTGCCAAAAGTGCAAAAAAGGGATTTCATTCTTTGAATTGTTACTTGTCTGAATTTGAAGAATGTTGAAGCATATAAAACGTAGCACCAGTTGTAACCTAATTGAACAACCTTGGAATAATATGCCTAACAAAATTCATTCTGTCCTTATGAAGTGGAGACTTTGCTTCTGTATAGTTGTCTGGATAAGGGATTTTGTCATCATTTTATTGCTCTGACTTTAGCTATCTATACCAAGTTCTTATACGGGATGCATCTCTGTAGCATTTGAGTGAATCCCAAAATTACTTCTCTGTTTCCTCCCATTTTTAAAGCCTGGCCTGTGGTTTGTGATGTTATTTTGGGATAGAGAGCCCAAAGAAGTGGATTTTGAATTTTGCTGTGAAGATGCAGATAATCATTGTTCTGATCTCAACTCATCTCTTCCGGATTACTGGCCAGTTGTTGAGAAGTTCTGTCTCCTACCCCAGACAATTTTCACTCAAGTTTGACATATGGTCAATTGTTTCATTATAAGGAAGCTGTATGTGTTTGGATGTTGTCTGAAGACATTACATAAGCATGGCAATTATTAACTTGAAGAACGTCACAGGATTCCATGACCACATTGTTACTCCATTGTACTCATGTGCCACAACTGATGCCACCTATGTATCCATTAACAAACTGAAACATTAGAATGGCCATAATGGGTCAGATCGAAGGTCTATCTAGACCAATATCTGATCTTTCAACAGTGGTCAATACCAGATGCCTCAGAGGGAATGAACAGATCAGAGAATCATCTAATGATCCATCCCCTGTTGCCCATTCCCAGTTTGCCACAACATGGGTTCTTCATTGTTTCACTTCTGCTGCCTAAAAAAGTAGGAGTTGTTCATTGTGACGTAGTGGGGGTGCCTGGCTGGTTTCTATGCTGCTGGCTCTGGGGTAACCCCCACTGGCTGCTGTGGGTACCACGACCCAGCAAAACAGGATGAGTCACTATGCAAACCAGTATGGCCAGACACCCCCCATGGAGAGGAACAAAGGAAGGTGGAATGCTACCCTGGCTGGGGGGCAGGGCTGGAAGAGTGTTGGTTAGTTGCTGTCTGTGAGCCTGGAGGAGACAGCCTAGGGAAAGGGGCTGGAGTTTAGGGGCCCAGTCTCCCCCCCCCACTCAAGGGGGCCTGAGGCATCCTAGCCCAGCTCTGTGACCAGATTACATCTGTGCTGTGCTGTATCCTGGAGAGGCAATAAACTTCCTCTATTCCGCCGGCTGGTGCGGTCTGTTTGTGCCATTTCAGGGTGCGAGAGACGGGGGACCCCCAACGCACCGTCACATTCATCACTAGTCCTATTGTTAATACTGACTGATGGGAAAGGGAAGATTCACTCGGTCAACTTCAGAGGCAAATTAAATAAAAATCTATTTAAAAAGAGGTTTCCTATAGATGATCCTAGAGATGCTCTCCAGTATGGAAGTTTTGAAAAGGAAATTATATACAATGAATGGCAAACATTAAAATAAATGGATTTGGATGCTCATCTGATTTTTACTCAAACTATCCAAACTACCTTAAGCTTTTGGAATCATCAAATATTTTGGTGTCTATCACATCAGAACAAGTTATGCTGCAAAGATATCTTACGCATCCAACTTTTCACACACACACTGAAAATGCTTCTTGGATTTTAGCTGTGTGGGTTGTACTCAAAACTTAGGGGGAAAGGAAAATAAACCCACAAAACATCTCAAGAAGATTTAGTTTAGGTTGGGTTCTGGGAATGTTCAAAATTTTAGAAGAGGTCTTACATTTTCCAAACCAGTTAATTTGGCCCTGTTTAATTATGGTATGTGATCTCTTATTTCAACAGAATGCCAATACATCCAACAGTAAGAGAACACAGAGCAACTAAAACAAACAGCAAGGAAGGAAAAGACACTAGACATTATTATACCCTGGAATAGACTTGGAATAATTCTTCACCAGCAGGGATAGAAAATAAATGCCCCAATGGCCTTTTTCAGCTCACATTTATAGGATTCTTTCCACTTTCTTTTTTTCAATGTGCTATATTTATACTGATAGAAGCAACTATTCCAGTCAGCGACAGACGTAAGATGTCTCCAGAACTGCATGTTCAGAAAATGACAGCTGGTATGGCCATCACAAGGCCTATAAGAATGATAAAAAATAAAAGCTTGGAAAGCTGATGAGTTTTTGAAAAGTTTAGCTGATCAGAAAGGAAAGAAAATCAGACATATAAAATCACAGAATCTTAGAACTGGAAGGAACCTCAAGAGGTCATTAAATCCAGTCCCCTGCACTCATTGCAAGACCAATTATCATCTAGACCATCCCTGACAGGTGTTTGCCTAACCTGCTCTTAAATATCTCCAATGATGGAGATTCCACAACATCCGTCGGCAATTTATCCCAGTGTTTAACCACCGTGAGAGGAAGTTTTTCCTAACGTCCATCCTAAACCCTGCTTGCTGCAATTTAAGCCAATTGTTTCTTGTCCTATCATCAGGAATTAAGGGGGATAATTTTAATCCTTCCTCCTTACAACAACCATTTAGGTACTTGAATGCTTTTATCATGTCCCCTCTTGACTGTCTCTTTTCCAGACAAAACAAACCCAGTTCTTTCAGTCTTTCCTCAGAGGTTATGTTTTCTAGACCTTTATTCATTTTTTTCTTCTCTGAACCTTCTCCAATTTGTCCACATCTTTATTAAAATATAGCACCCAGAACTGGAAGAATATTTCTCATGTCCTGTTTAAAACACTCCTGCCTATGCATTCCCAAATGTTTACTTTTTTTGCAAGACTGTCACACATATTTACCTATAACCTCTAGGGGTATGTTTACACTAGCTCGTTAATTCGAGCTAGGTGGGCAAATGAGGCGACCGGAGTTGCAAATGAAGCCCGGGATTTAAATATCCCGGGCTTTATTTGCATGTTCCCATCCAGTCATCCTTAAGCACTTAGTCCGAATTAATGTTTCATTGCCGCATGTAGCCGCGCGGCAGTGAGTTTGGGCTAGTGAAATTTCAAAATGGCGACCGGACAGGAACATGCAAATAAAGCCCGGGATATTTAAATCCCGGGCTTCATTTGCAACTCCTGTTGCCTCATTTGCCTACCTAGTTCTAATTAACGAGCTAGTGTTGACATACCCTAGATCCCTTTCTGCAATACACCTTCCTAGACAGTAATTTCCCATTCTGTGTGGGTATGTCTACACTATAGTGTTATTGCGAATAAATATCTTATTTCGAAATAAAGCGTCTCCACACAAAATGCATTTCAAAATAGCTTTTTGCTATTTCAAAATAGTGTGTCCACACTGAGTGGACTCTGAATTGCATTTAAGGCTGGCCGGAACCAGTTCCAGCAGGGCACCAGGTCAGGACTTACTGTGTGGGGCTGCTGCCTGAGGCTAACTGAGGTCTGTGCTTAAAAGGACCCCCCTGCCCTGGACAGTCAGTTCTCAGGTTTCCCTGCTTGCTTGTCTACCTTGACGAGGGACAGCAAAGCATTTTGTCTCTGCGTGCTCTGGTTGCCCTTACTCAGGACACCACAGCACTCTGTAACATGGAGCCAGAGCTGCTCCATGGCACTCTGGTGCTTCTCTTGGATGCATTTCTGCAAGCCTGGCTACACTTTCTGAAAGCTGCCATCCGGGAGGTCCATCGGGGGGCTGTCAGTATCCAGGAGGCCCAGGGGAGAGCTTCTACCCTGAGGAGCACTAAGAGCCTCCCTGGTCTGCCTCACTGGGGGCTTGTGCCTCATTCCTCCCTCAGGTCCTTCCACTTACTCCTCCCTAACCCCCCATTCTGAAGTCAAATAAAATACATGTATTTTCATGAACACAAACTCTCTTTATTTAACAAAACTGAGGGGGGAGGAGAGGGAATGAAACTCTGGTGAGACTGGGGAAAGGAGGGGGGAGAGGGGAGAAGAGAGGATGGGAGAAGGGAAGGGGAAACCTGGGAGGGGGGAGCTGGAAGGGGGAAGCAAGGGGAAGAAGGGGAAGAGGAAGCTCAGAGCTCAGGGTTGGGAGTCTCGCCGGACCAACTTGATTGTCATGCAAACCTGCTCCTGGGTTCGCATGTGGCCTTTGGTGGCTAGGCTGGCAGCTATCCTGCCATAGACTGTTGTGTTCCTCCGTCTAGTGTGGAGATCATGGACGTTAGGGGCATCCCCCCCCCCCAAACCTGAACAAGGTCCATTATCTCCACCCTGGACCAGGAAGGCACCCACCTTCTCCAGGCCCTGGAAGGCTCCTGGGAGCTGGCAGACTGCACCTGGGGAGCAGAGGAGGGCTGGCTGCCAGAGGCTTTCTGGCTCATTTTGAGGCCACTGGGTCAGGAGCCCCGGTGGCCACTGCTGTCTCTGGGCTGGCAGGCCTGGAGCTGGCACAGACCCTGTGTCCAAACAGACTCTACCCCTTTAAGGGCTCCCGGGAGGGGGGGGGGAAGGGGGGGTACCCCTTTAAGGTCTCCAGGGAAGTGGGGGAGGGAGAGAAGTGTTCTTGGTTGAGGCTGCAGTTGCCACCAGGGCACCCTGGGAAGGCTGGAGGCCCCCTATTTCGAAATAAGTGTCTACTCAGAACTTATTTCGAAATAGCTGTTTCAAATTTGGTGTTATTCCTCATAGAATGAGGTTTACCAAATTCAAAATAAGTCCTCCACTTTTTTGAATTTATTTTGAAATAGCGGTTTGGCTGTATAGATGCTAGGAAAGTTATTTTGAAATAACTTTGCTGTGTAGACATACCCTGTGTGTGCAAATGATTGTTCCTTTCTAAGTGGAGTACTTTGCATTTGTCCTTATTGAACTTCATCCTATTTACCTCAGACCATTTCTCTAGTTTTTCCAAATCATTATGAATATAACCCTAACTTCCAAAGCACTTGCAACCTTTCCCAACTTGGTATCATCTGCACATTTTTTAAGTCTACTATCTAAATCACTGATGAAAATAATGAACAGAATTGGACCCAAAACTGATCTAGCATGACCATCAACCATTGATTATAACTCATTTGGGAATGGTTATTCAACCAATTATGTACCCACTTTATAGTAACTCTCTTGTTTGTTAATGAGAAGGTCATATGAGAATATATCCAATGCCTTACTAAAGTCTAGATATACCACATCAACCACATCCCCCTATCCAAAAGACTTGTTACCTTGCCAAAGAAAGCTATCAGGTTGGTTTGATATCATTTGTTTGACAAATCCATGCTGACTGTTACTTATCACTTTATATAGAATAGAATAGAATAGAATAGAATAGAATAGAATAGAATAGAATAGAGGGAATTCCATACACTCCATACTTGAGTGGCATGGCAGAGTTGTCATTTATGAAGAAGGAAATGGGCAGGGAAGAGAGTTTAGAAGAAAAGATGAGAAATTTGTTTTTTCTCTGTGTTGGTTTAAGGCAACTGCGAATCATCTAGGACAGTGGTTCTCAATTTTTTGGGCTCTGGAGCCCCTTATATGCGTAAAAATTTATGCGGAGCCCCAGCAGTCCACTGACTGTATGTGTTGTACCTATCGATGTTTCCAGTTTCTCAACCTCACAGAGTACTGGAGATGTCTCACAGAGCTCTGGGGCTCCGCAGAGCACAGTTTGAGAAGCACTGATCTAGGAAGACAAGAAAGGCAGCAAGAGACAAGAGTCTGGTGAGAGGAGCAGAGGTGGATTTGAGAGTGGTCAACACAGAGATAATAAGAGACCTTAAGAATGGATGAGGCTGTCTAGGAAACAAAAAAAGGAGGCAAAGGAAAGGAGATGATAAAAGATATAAGAATCTCACATAATATAGACAATCTGTAGATTATCCCAATATTTTGAATTTTCTAGGACAATTTTATTTCTGCTGAGAAAATTCTGCAAAGCCAAATTCGATCACTCTCATAGTTGTAGCAAAGACCCCTAATTTTTTGTTACTGTTACTACAATTTCCCTCAATTAAATTCAAGAAGCATTATAATCCTTATAAAACATGACTTTTCATACATACTTGTTCTAATATTATATTATATATAATATTATTTTGTTATATTACATACACAAGCAGGATATTATTATTGATTTTTTTTATCCAGCATATAAACCACTATGCTACATGCACAACCCAATATAATTATTTCAAATCCGGGATTTTGTTTCTGTGTTGTACAGCAGGGAGAATTCACATGTAATTAATTGCCAGGTTTTTTGGAGATACTAACCAATGTGTGCTGGGTAAGTGAATTAAGATGGACTATAGTTCTGCTAAATCTAATTCATTATATATATTGAATTTTGATTCAATTGACATAAATAACATGTAAACTAGCAATAGTGAAAAAACAAAACACATGATTAAAAAAGTTGATTAAACGTATTTTCCAGTTCTAAGAGAACATTAGTTTTGAAAATTCCTTAACTTGCAGATTAAAATATTTATGAAGTTCTGTCATTATTCATAGTATCCAGTTTACCCATTTTAAATTGCAGCACGGGAAACCTGAAAGACAAAGTTAAATACTAGAGCTACAGATCACTTGCCTAATTATATGGAATATAGCAGAGATAATGAGCTCATTGTGAACTGCAACAGTCATATAACGTGGCTCATGAAATGCTGATGGGACTGTCCGCACTGCATAGCAGAGATAAACACCCCACAAGAGGAATAAAAATTCAGCTGTGAGAAGAACAAAAAGAAATAATTTGCCATTAGTTTTGTAGATGAAAAATAAGAGAAATTTGAAGTTATATAGTATGTTCTATATGTGTTTGTATCTATAAATATATGCACATATAGAAAATATATAATCATAAATATAAACATTCATATGCAAGAATTCATATATTTTCAGATATTTTAACTGTATATCAAACATTAAATTTTAATTTTTACACAATGTATAATTAGACCAGGAACCCTTTGCCTCTAGGTTTGCCCACTATTTTAGTTTACAAGTGTTAAAACCAATCTTTAGCAGTTTCTTGTCCATTTTTCAACTTGATACCTTAGCAGTATTATTTGTATTTGACATCATTTGTAATACATTTCTGAATTTTAGCTCAGCTTCTTGTTATAAAGGCAGCTACAAATGCCACTTCAGTTAGGTGTCTGTAAGCCTTTTTTAAATGAATATTATATTTCAAAGGTTTATAACTCAGGTGTAACTATTTTTTTTTGGTTTAAAATATATCCACTATTCACTTTAATTCTGTTGAGCCTGTGTTTTATAGACATTAGGAAGCTCTTTTGAGAAGCCTAAAGACTTGGTAATGACAACAAATGACACATTACTCCTCAGTAGGTAAGAAACATGTGATGAAAGAAATAAAATAGAGATGGATGATTGCTTAGGGCCAGCTCAAACCATTCCTGTAAGAAGTTTGTATTTCAGTAGATGTTTTACTGGGATACAATGTTGTTTGTGACACAAACATCATCTTTCACATCAGCCCAAGAAATCCCACATCCCTGGGATCCTCTCAGGAGTATGGTTATGAGAACAACTTATTTCTTTCATCTCTTCTCTTTCAACCTGTCCTTCTCAAGAGCTGGGCTGGAAGTGGCCAGTCCTATCTTGTCACCTGCACAACCAGAATCAACTCCTGAAACATGATTCTTTGTTGGGTTTGCTTAATTTTGTGACTATAATTTTGCTCATGACACCTCTCTATATTAGCAATCTACATTATATACATGCACATTCACACCATGTTTTGTGAATTCAGGTTAGATATATTAGAAACATGACTTCATTACATTTCACTGCATTCTAATTCCTAGCTACAGGTTCATCTGGTATAAGAGCAAGCAACCAGCACACCATGTAGGTACCTCAACAATTGTATCATTTTCAGTTTTCTTCCCATTGGAGTGAGTGGCAAAACTCCTATTGATGCTACTGTAACTAAACAAGGAATAATTCTCTCTCTCTCTCTCTCTCCAATATAGTGTCTCATTGAAACATTACCAAGCTAGGTAGCTTGTCTCTAGAACATCTTATGTTCTATTAGATGCAAGTTTATAAACTATTAAAAGAAAAAAAGAGAAAAAATGAAACTATGTATCTGGAATTAATTCACCTGCATGAGCTAACAGAAAATTTGCTTTATACTTTGTACTTTATACATGTTCATTTTTGCTACTATATTTAAAAATATTATTGGCCATCCACAAAAAAAGAAGAAAAAAAAAAAAAGAAAGTTACAGTAAAAAATACAGATGATTTTTGGTGTTACTTTTTTTTTCTTTTTGAGAAGTTTACCTACATAATGGGCACCTGTTCCATTTCATTGGTAACTTCACAAGCAATGATAGGCAAACAGTTACCAGTCTAGTTTTGATAAATTGCAACAGTTTGGAAGGACCATATTTGAAATAGTTTTTTAATTAGGTCAACAAGTTCAAGCTGGATATCTCTCAAAAATACACTTTCTATTGGTTTTTATTTCTAGACAGTCTACAAATACTATGTTAGTGCAATATTTTCCTAATATTTAGACCTTCCGATTTTATTTTGGGTCAACCAGGAAGTGAGAAGACTTGAGGAAGTGAAAATTAATTCAGCATTACGTGAACTTCTTTGTGCCTCAATAAAAGAATCAGTGAATTTTGAGCAAAGCTTTGAGTGGCTCTTAATTTAATTTGAGTGGTTTGCTGAGTCCTAAAACCATACATTTCCTGACCAAAAATGATGTATATTCTCACAATGTCTAATATGTAGCACACTTGTATTACTCTTTCTCTTTTATGTCCTCCCCAAAACTAACAATAATTACTATGAAAATGGAAAAAACAACAGTTTGATTTGCAATTTTGACCCATCATATGTCTTCTGTGATATTTTTGACTGGGTCCATTTTTGGGCTTCTCAAATGAACATAAAGTAATACAGCACTCCCATGTCTCCTGTCCTGAATGCCTGGGCAAACTGGGTACTAGTTTCAATTCACTATCACTTTATTGGCTACACTGACAGTAAACTCTATAACTATATCTCATTAATATAATTAATCTAGGAAATATTTTAAATAATTCTCCTTTTAAATCTAGAACCACAGCACAAAAAACATATAGTTCTAACTTGGCATTAACTTTAAATAAAATTAAAAAAGAAAATACTGTAAAAAAAACTAAGGTTGCTACAGCAAATTCATTGGCTCTTTATCCCATGAGATCTGTGGAAATTTCCCACTGACCCAGCAGAGTTTGAGAGATGTGCCATCAGAACATATTGCCCCTGCTGTTTTCACAAATGCTGTCTTTCAGCCCAGTGTCATCTTTGATAAATAGAATATTAGCAGTACTGTAGAACAGAACAATAAATAGTCTGGTAGCACTTAAAAGACTAACAAAACATGTAGATGGTATCATGAGTTTTCATGGGCACAGCCCACTTCTTCAGATGACCGTAGTGTTATATGTCCAGAACCAAAATAAATAGAGAAGGGTAGGGAGGGGCGGGGGGGAGACTAACTGTACAGACTAACTCGGTACCCCTCTGAAGCTTTTGAACAGAACAATGTTTGTGTTAGCAGCCAAGGAATGATCAAATTAATGAAAACTAAAACTAGTGCTTTCACTTTTCTTTTTACTCCACAACCAAATGAAGTGAAAAAAGCCCTACATCTGTTACTGACACAAGGAGAAAGTGATAAATTACAAGAGCTAAATTAGGATATACACTGAGAATTCCAATAAATAAGGCTGTTATGTGCATGGAAAGAGAAGTTTAAAACCCCATGCTCTGAAGATAGCTTTATTAAAATAAGGACCCTGTATATCTGAAGTAACCCTGAAGAAGGTATTGTAGTTACTCTATATTTACAGTTTTGTAACCAAAAGAAAACTTTAACAATATTCCAGGTGTACTGTAATCTCTTAAAATATCCCTATGAGCAAGTGAGATGGAAAATACCACACTTCAATATGGAAAGGTCACTTTCAGTGAGTTTGCATAGGTATAAATGATGGCAGAATTTGCTTCTAGGTCTAAAGAAGTTCAATGCATTTATTTTTTTAAATATGCAGGCAATATCGTTCTAAGCAGCCACTTAATGCCAACAACAATGGAATTTAAAGGGTGTGTATACTGGAGCACAGCAGACATTTGCACTATTTAAAATCAAATGTTTCTTTCAGTGCTTTTCATTTAGAATAGAGGTGGCATTTCTGAATAGAGAAAATAATTAGCATGACATCTGGTATACTACACAAATGGGAATAGCTTTTAAAATGCAATGTAAAATAAGAATGCACATACTAGCTAAGCCCACTATTACAATAATTTAATTAGCAATAGCATTTTGGTTGAGAAACAATTTATCATCCAAACTACCAACCACATATGTTAAGTATACCTTGTAGAAGTTGTACTTGAGGAAGAAAATCAGGTTTATATAAATAACTTACAAAGAAAATGTACAGATGTTATCAGATTTTGCTATGGCTTTTTGTACATGAACATTGGACAACCTATTGTGATTCTGAGCATAAAATTAAGATGATGACAATTCTGAAGTCATTAACAACTAGTATACAATGGAGGTAAAGTGAGGAGGTTTAAACAAAGATTTCCCTCATAATAGGGTTCATCACATAATTACTTCTTTGTCCTTAGTGGTGGAACTGTGTATTGTAACCTCACCTATAGCCTCTTATTCTAACTGAATTAATACTAGAAGTGAGGGTATGTCTACACTACAAAGTTAATTTGAACTAACAGACGTTAGTTCGAATTAACTTTGATAGGCGCTACCCATGCAAACCGTTAGTTCGAACTTAATTCGAACTAGCGGAGCGCTTAATTCGAACTAGGTAAACCTCATTCCACGAGGACTAACGCCTAGTTCGAATTAACTAGTTCGAACTAAGGGCTATGAAGCCACTTAATTCGAACTAGTGGGAGGCTAGCCCTCCCCAGCTTTCCCTGGTGGCCACTCTGGGCACCACCAGGGAAACTCTTCTGCCCCCCTCCCGGCCCTGGAGCCCTTAAAGGGGCACGGGCTGGCTACAGTGCCCGTGCCAGGTACAAGCCTGCCAGCACCCAGCCAGCAGACCCTGCACATGCCACCCAGCCCTCTGCCTC